ATGATTTGATGAGTTAGACGGCTGGATAAGGAATTCAGTAGCCTATGGTTTTTCAGTCTTCTGTTTTTCAATCTATACTTGTTACAATCTAAGTAGAGAACATTTTTCGTTCTTCTTTTGCGGTAATGTGTTTACTACAAAGCAGCACATACCTACGTTTCTTTCTTTCAGCAGCCATCTCAGAGTGTTAGATGCGTGCGATTGAAGCATGGTGCGATTCATGGACATAAAGTGACCTTCCGAGAATCGTTCTTCAAAAGGCAAAGTTAGACAGAATTTTTTTCATCAGTCATGCTTCTTTTTTTGCAACCTTCTAGTACATTGCAGTCAAAATCGTCCCATCCTGTAGCTGTTGTTTCCTTGCCAGGAAAATCCGAATATTTTCTACGAGTTCTCCTATACAAGGACGTCATCCAAAGACGCCAGTAAATTCTACTCCTGTCTGACTTGCAGGCGCGCAAAGGCGGATAGTGAGTATATATTAGATCAAAGTTTTACTTCTTCAAAGTATGCTGTGTGCTCAAGTCTCCTTTGTTGATAGATATTTCCCCCTAGACGTCTTGGAAAATATGTTAGAGGGGACTCTGTGCTCTATTCGACTTCCAATCAGAGGAGTTGCATGGGCCTGCCGATTACATCCGGTGTTCTTGTCCTCCCAGACTAATCTTTTGCCAATTTACCGCTCCCGAGTAGAAGGCTTGGTTGGCCTAAGCGGGAGTCGAAGGGGAATTTCACCTTCGGACCGCGGGCGTGCTAAGCGTGCCGCTCGCCACTACGCCACCTCCACCATCCCACTGTGAGATCTGTTTTTTTTTAAATATATAGCATAGCTGAAATTGGTGACCCACTGTCATTCGGCTGGCAACGTAAAGCGCTTGTTTTCAAAAGCCTGCGGTACTGCATATGCTTGTCACTGTGGTTCTAAGAATTTCAGATCTGTCATCTATTTTCTTGAACTTGCAGTTCTTTCGAACCTTTGAAAGTAATGCTTCTACACTCATTTATTTTTGCGTTGCTCAATATTTGATTCCGTCTGTGATATACAAAATGTTCAGCACGCGTAAAGGATGTGATCCGCACTATTCACATCAAGGATGGCACTATTCAAAGTCGCGGTGATCCCTTTTGGGGGCATCACTTCGCCTGCCGACCATTCACATCCTTAGCAGCTTCGTGAGTGAATTTCCTTGCACATTATATACTTTCTGCATGCCCTGAGTTCTGCAGAAAGTCTACTACACTTAATGCTATGCTATTCAGTAGTCCCGTGCTCCCGTCCACTTCACAGATTGATTTTGTGGAATACGGTGGAGCCGAAGACGAATTTCTGCGACAAGACGTCCAGCCTGCAAGCCGTTGGGGTGACAGTTTCTATCTCAGGTGATGATGCAAACGCCTTAAGCAAGCGTTTCAGAGGAAAGATGTCTAACTGTTGAGCAGACGCCGTTTATCGGTGCCGCTTCTGAAGTTCCAGAGTTTCATGATGTTCAAGCAGCACAGAACGAGGAAGTAAGTGCAGCCCAAGCATCCTATCAGTGTTTAGAAGCCTCAAGAACTAACGCCTTTGTTCGTATATTGTGCCACCCGTTGTGCTCAGTCTGCTGGCGTAGAATCAAGGATCGTTTAGGGACTTGCTCCTTTGCTGCACCATACTGTACTGCATTTATTGAGAGCTACACTCTACAAGATCTATTTCAGTTTCACGAGCCTGGAACATCAACTAGTTTACTCATCAGTACCCCTCACACCAAAACGTCCAGGACGTGGTTTGCAAAACAGGTCAGTTATTATTGTTATTCGTAGTCGAGATTCAAGGCTTTCAATCTGTGTCAAAAAGGCAAGGTATTGCGCTCTTTTGTAATATGTTCTTCTACAGTTTTGTTGCACTGCTGAAGAAGCAGTGTCCGCGATCAGCTAGGATTTCCCTATCCCATCGTGCAAGTAGACTGGTCTGCAGAAGCAGCGATCTCACCACTTTCGCCACGCAAAAGCAAGTGAGGAGGCCGGCGACGCCGTCTTTCGCTCGACGCACTTTCATGGACTTATTCGCCGCTCTACTCAGCCATAATAACAGGAAGAGCCTGCATCTCCTTTAGGCAGACCACGCACGTTTACCAATGAGCATTCAGCTGAATCAAAAAGCGGGCGGCCATGAGAGGCTCTACCTAAGTCAGGTCCAATTCACAGTATTTTCTCGCTCTCTGCTAGCAGACATGCTCTCGGCAGAGGGTTTTATTTGGGGCACTGGCAACGATTCTTTTTAATGCATCCCTAGTTGAGCCCATTACCAAATTCTCATCGCTGAAATTTTGCCCCAAAGACAAACTGTGCGATCACCAGCGCGGATCCCGATCCTGGCAATGTGCGAGGTTACTGGGTTTGTAGCTGCAGTAGCATGCTAGTTCCAAGTCAAAAATGCATGTAAATTCGGCGTCGGAGGATAGGATACGGGTGCTTACTCTGCTGTGCTACTTTGGTTCGGCAGTCGCATGCCAAATCCAGTAGAAGAGCCGTCAGTAACAACTGTCTCGATGCGCACCATGGGAACACAGCCCTCAACGCTAATCTCTTTTTAGTTCGATTAGCAATTATCTTCAGCACGGCCTCTCTCATCTCTTCTGCTTCCCAGTCGTTAATCGTTTTGATAACTAACTCATTGTAACTGCGTCGATCTGATGAATTCGACAGCGACGTTGTCCATTTGTCATCCGAGTTTGGGCCTGTCAACCTTAACTCTCTCGTGCGGCATGCTTTTACGCACATATAAAATCTGGACGCCGACATGCTCAGTTTCGCTTGCAAAAATCCAAGTTATAAGTTAACACTTTTCAAAACATGATAACCACTATGAACAAAGTGGTTTGAATGAGGCCGCATTCATACTTTTCGACACCGGGCAGTAGATAGAGACAATGGGAGAGAGTGCACGCCATAGAAGTGATATGGGAGAATAGCAGAGTAGTGCAATCAAAGGAAATTCAGACGTGAATTGTATTGACTGCCCTGTCCTCCTTTTTCTAATTCGTTATCTGACCGAAGTCGGATCAAATTCCGCGTTCCACTCCTTGTCGTGCACTGTCTTAACTAACTTATTCTGGCATCACAAAGTATGAACGCGGCTTTAGCAATGTTCATAATAAAATGGCAGGAAAGGTCGTCGACAAAAACATCGAGATGTAAAAACATATCGAAACGTAAGTAAGGGGCTGCACGCAGGTGGTGTTGTCATTCAAATATCAAGAATGTCGAGTCATTCACATGATCGAGAACTCGCTTTTTTCAATGAAAACCAAAAGTTTTTTGTTGGCGCTGGGCAGTTAACTCAGACCCTGCCCGGAGAGCTGGATAAACAGACACAAATAACCAGGAAGGTCGTTCAGGGCGTGCCCCGCTTTTTCAAAACGGTTTATTGCACTTTGTAGGACCTTGCCCATGAACCGTAAAAGTGGGCTTCTTTTTTGCTGTGCGGCTCTTTAATGCCGAAAAAAGAGTGGAAAATTACGTCTATATACCCGCCATGATCGAAGGACGTTAAGCACTATAATACTGGCGCCAAATGCGTCGACGCTCGAAAATTAATTGTCAAAGATCTGTAATGCAGGACCATCGATTACTAGCTCGTGTGCCCACTAATTGGACGGACTCCAGCTAAAAAAAATTTTCGATTTCTTTGGGTTTTGGTGACCTTCTGGGTCGGGTTTTTTCTTCTCGTAGTGACGGAGTATCCCATCTTCGTGAAGACGATGACGAAACGACGACGTAGCAGGCCGCCGGCAGGACAGCAAACCTGGTGGAATGCCTCCCTTTCCTTCCTCTTTGCATGTATTTCATCGGCATTGTTACTTTTATCTTTGGATATTAATAAAATAGGGGGTCCCTTTGGCGAGGCACTGTAGACTTCTATAGAAAGACTGTCGGGCACAACCCAACGCACACACCCAAAAAAGTCGAAAAAATTTTTTGGCTGAAAGATTGTTTAAGGAGTAATCGATGGCCCCGACCATGATTTCACACTTATTTAATTTGGCCTGGGTAGCTACACATCCCTTACTTGTGTGTAGCAAACGCATTCATTGGGAGAAACATGTCACTCCATATTAGCGATAAATGGCACCGTAGCTACAAATAAGTTCCATATATGTGATTCGGGCATGGTCTGACCTATAAAGGTCAACTTTCAATTACGGTCTTGCTTAATGGTATGTAAAACCTGTAATAATTGAATAGCACTGATTCATGGAGTGTTCCCATTTAAAATGTGCCCATAAATGGCAGTTATCCGAATGCAATACTTACGCCACGAGACATATTTGAACGGCGAAACAACAGCAGAAAGAAACAAATAAAAAATGCAAAAACTCCCACGCCGAAGGGAGTTGAACCATCAACCCCACCCCAACTGTCCGCTTGAGAATCCTTCACGCTATCCACTAGGCCATCCGATCGTTGATGCTGAACGTTCCTCCGATCGTTGAAGAAACCATCCATGAAGCCGTTCACGCTTGATTACGTGCCACAAGTAAGACCCCATACCCCAACTACTTTTCTCTTCGATTCCGATAGCACCTTTATAGGGTCCCTCCATTCAGCAACTGGTCAAAGTTTCAAGCGGTTTACAGCTCGTAGAGGCTCAAAAACAATCAGTTTCTATAGGTTTCTTTTCGCTCCTTTTTTGGCATTCCAGGGGCCGCACAGCCAATACGAAGCCCACTTTTACGGTTCATGGGGGAAAAAAAAGAAAGGCAAGGCTACAAAGTGGCACTACACCGTTTCGCAAAAGGCCGGGGCACGCCCTGACGACCTCTCCTTGTAAGCGTTTCACGCTTCCCCAGCAGAGACATACGACCAATTTTTGACCAATGTCGAACCGTCGCCAGCCAGATTTTTTTCTTCTACGTTTCCCCCCCGGGGTGGGGTGGGGGGGGGGATGGGGTATGATACGACCGGTCCACAATGAGCTGCTGAACGTAGGCTGTCTAACTCTGTCGTAGGCTTACCCCTTCTACAGAAACCCATTAAAGACACTCCCCGATGCAAAGTGGTCCTCAAAATGACTTTTGACTTTTTGAACCCTGGTCTACGCTTGACAAAGATCTACCACTTTCATTCCTTCAATATGACGCGATAAGGAAGTTTATAGCGGTCCTTCCACAAAGGCCGCTAGCTCGGCTGACACGTGTAGTGACGAGGCGTTCCGGTTCCGAGCTGCTTTTCCGTCCCTTTAAAGTATCCTATTTCGAAAGTCGGGACGCAATTGCGGCTGCCGCATCGATTTCTGGCAGCCACGTCCGGCACACTCGTCCAGGCCCCGCCCCACACTGCTAAAGGGAGGTCTGTGTTCAGGGTGTTCGCGAGGTTTTTTTTTCGATTTTTTTTCTTTTCAACTATCACTGGGGGTTAGAAATGAACACCTGCTTCGTGACTGTTGGCAACCATTAGCGAAATCACTTGATCGCGGGTATTCGTCTTCAATGTTGGCGTAGTTTAGAGAGAAAACGTACTGAATTTGATTCAGGGGTGTAGCCAGTCATGATCCTCTGCAAACGACAGGGCATGTGACGCGGCGCGTGTTTGAGCGCAGCCAGAGTAGCCTTGTTCCAACAGTGATGCTATCCTAAGCTCGCTACGAGTGATAGGAAATCTGGGGCAGCTGGTTGCCCTTCAATGCTCTGCGCCCTATCATACGCTCTACCGAATTGTGAGTGGATTGTGACTATGTACTCCAAAGCGGATCCAATATCGCTCTGGGACTCTTCTGGACTAACTGACTGCAAGTCATGCTCATGCACAGTATCCTCTAGACCTTGTAGCTTCCACCACTAGCTGCTTCGGTTGCTAAAGCATCAGTTATTTGGAACAGAGAGCAGTAATCTACCAAGGGGTAGGGGAAGTTCATCGGTGACTTTGGTCAATATAGGTTTGGGTGATCGAGAAAAATTGGTAGGCAAGAGTTTGAAAAAGTTTTTGTTTTTGGGTCGACGATCTTTATTGCCAATCTAGTACGTGCAGCAGAGCACCCTGTTCTATTTTAAGAATGTCACCAGACGCTCCAGTACGATTACGGCGGAAAAGAATATGTCCATCATGTCAAATGAAAATGTTTACAATAAAGAACTCATAAACTGTTGAATATTTATTGAATACTTCAGTTATAACCGTAATTTGGAGAACACGTGATCGTGCGACCTGTCAGTTGCGAGATGAGGGTAATGAGATATCCTTAGAGTATGTAGTAGTTGAAAGCCTTCATAGATCACCAAAAAGACTTCTTCAGCGGTGCTAGTCACCGGTGATCAAAGCTGGATGAATAGATATTGATAACACTAAACCACTGTTACACGCTTCCACTAGTTTGTCAGCCAGGCCGGGTGCACGCCCATCACACGCGACTATTTTCACACTAAAATGTAACTTATCAAATAGTAGAGTGAAGGAATGATAAACATTACTTACGCGATCTATGCCGACGGATCTATTGACACGATGGACAGTCTCGAAACTCACACCCGTTGATCACAAACCCTATCGTTTGTCACAGTATCGATACGTGACCAACTTGTCAGCTTTAAATTGAACCTTAAACAGTTGCACATCGTTGGTGGTGTGGCTTCAGCTGATGAGTGAATTCGATATGGTGAATCGGGTCATGAAAGGGTAGGCGTCAACGCCATCACATCCGTTTTTTTTAATAATCACGTCACAACAAAATGTGTCCAGAAAATGAAGCTGTGAAATATTATAAAACACGCTCAAACTAAAGCACATCGAATATCATAAGCATCTTCGGCTTGTTCAAGTGAGTG